TGAAAATGAGTTACTGAAAATACAAACACACTGGTTGACAACGTACTGAAATGTCTTGAGTTTAGGTCAGTTTTCAATACATTTTATATATGTGTAAACAAAGTAAATGGTGTTAATATTTGACATCATAAAATTAGTTTACTAGATGGTGTTGTCATATGAGTAAATCGCTTAGATTATTAAATTTGAACTTTTAGTTAGTAGGAGTCTGTAGATGCAATTTTTCTTTTTTTTTAAAATTTTTTCTTAACGAAAGAAGATCTAAATCCCATACTTGAAATACACATATACTCATGCAAATATGGAATTTACCTGTGACCCACACAAAATCTTGAGTCTAGTAATTGTAAAACACTCCTCAAGTTAAAGTTAAGTTTTAAAATAAGAAATATTCTGAATTCTACTGTCAATATGTCAAAGTAATTAGGTGAGTAAGTAAAAACAGATGCATATTTTAAAATTATTAACATCACTGGTGAAAGAAACAATAAAAAATAGTGCTTTATTTTTCGTTGTGCTATATTTAGAAAGGGGTTGTATACTATAATAAGGAATGAGATTACACTTCTTAAATCAACTAACATTACTCTTCTGAAATACAATCTTATAACGGCTCATCGGGAAAAAAACATAATCCTACTCTTATACTTCTGGTATCCATAAAGGAACACTACGTTCAACTTAATGTTCCAAGTCAGAAACATGAGAGCAGAGCGAAGGACCTTATCCTTTTTTAAGTCATTGTATAACCAATCACTACAAACAAAAAGTAAGATCTGATGCCAATTTTAACTCATCACAACTCCGAGCTGCAGTGTAGGACTATTCCCCAGGATTTGTTTCACTGTTGAGTGAGGCTGAGTGGAGTCAAACCATTAACTTTTAGGTAAACTGTGAGCGCAAGTCATATGTGCCATTCCGACATCCAGATCTGTTTCTGTGTCTTATAAATTTTCTTCTTTAGAGATTTCCTAAATCTTATCGTTCTCTCTCCGTTTACAAGAAATGATTTCATATAGGATCTTATTTCCTCTGAAGCATGGTACCACTTTGCTAAGGAATTCTACACCCCTTTTACCAGCTGACAACCTACATTAACTTCCCAAGATCTAATGGACCCCAGTCATGGATTGAATTGTGTCTTCCCAAAATAAGTGCGCCAAATTTGCTAGGCCCTAATTCTTGGTACAGAATGATCCTCTATGTTGTAAATAGTAATGACTATGACTTCAGAGGCAGGGTAGGAGGCAGCTGTGATTATCCTTCTGATATGATCAGCTACTTACTTGTAAGGGGATTAGTGGGAGAGAATGCAACACCCTTGATCAGATATCAGCCTTGACAACATGTAAGTGGAGTTTCCTTGGGGTGTGGCCTGCATCAACTTTTACCTTCCAAGACATGAAAGGAGAAAAATGCAAGCAAAAAAGAGGACAACTCAGTATTCTACAGAAGAGCCAAGAGGAGAATGAATCCTTTGGGCATGGGCCCCTGTGTTAGAAAACAACTTAACATAGGGAAAGTACAAGGCACATGGACATCTAAGGAATGCCCAGAGCTGTCGCAAAGACACAAGGTCCTTCCTCCAGACCCAGCAAGGAAGCCTTCCCTTGCTATCAGCACCCTGAATTCTGACTTCTATCCTCCTAACAGCTTCTAATATCTTTTATCTAAATTCTAATGGTCAGAGAATTTTTTCCTTCCCATTTTTTTATTATTGTTAATTTTAATAAAAATATACAGAGACTTTGGATTTCCATTCATTCATTGTTAAACTTTTCTCCCTGCCCACTCCTCTCCCCCACCCAGTTTGTTCTTCTCTTTGAAAAGTAAAAGAAAAATTCTTTCATTGTAATACAATTCCTCCCCCCAGTCCACTGCACTCTGTTGCCTTCATTCTGGACTCCTGTAATGACAATAATACCTAATCACATATCCCTTTTAAACAGTTCCAAGTTAAAACCCTAATGCCTCGTATTTATGTTACTGCAGCACTAGATAATGAGTACCACTTTCTATCCATGATCTGGTCTTTACTTATCTGTCAGCCTCATCTTTAAAAAGAAACTGCAACCCTTATTCACTACTGGTGGGAGTGTAAAATGGTACAACCACTGTGGAAGGCGGTATGGTGCTTTCTCAAAAAGTTGCAAATAGAGATACCATTTGACCCAGCAATTCCACTATTGAGAATTTACCCCAAAGGACCATAACTGACATCCAAGCAGATATATGCACACCCATGTTTATCAACGCTTTGTTCACAATAGCAAGGAGTTGGAAACAACCTAAGTGCCCATCAACAAACGAATGGATAGAAAAGCTGTGGTATATTCACACAATGGAACACTATATTACATTGGAAAAAAAAGGAACTCCTGCAATATTATTTAAAATGGGTGAGCCTGGAGGACATTATGTTGAGTGAAGTATCTCAGTCACAAAAGGGCAAATATTGCATGGCACCACTGTTGTAAAACAGGACTGACATCAGGGTTGAGGGGAGACTGAGAAAGATGGGTTCAATAATGTATACTGAATTGAAACAGATGAGGGAGCAAACTGTTTAAAACGGATATGTGATTAGGTATTTTTGTCATGACTGGAGTCCAGAGCGAAGGCTGCATAGTGGAGTGGACTTGGGGGAGGGTTTGTAAAACAATGAAAGAATTTTTCTTTTACAAAATTTTCCAAGAGGGCAGTGTAGTAGGGGGGAGGGTTGGGAGTGGAGAAAAGTGCAAAAATGAATGAATGGAAATCCAAAGTCTCTGTAAATTTTCATTGACATTGATAATAATTTTTTTTAAAAAGCTGCATGCTTTCATGTTAAATACTTTGTTATTGTTGTTACATGCTTTTGAGTCCCTACAGCTCATAGCGACCTTATGTACACAGCTCTGAAAGTAACCCTCACTGACTCTGACATATTTACTCCCATTGTCCTAGTTACCATGTCACACCATCTCATCCCAGGTTCCCCTCTCCTATGCTATTCCTCCATCCTTCCAAGCATGACACTTCACTGCTTATAATTTTCAAGGAGATTGATGACATAGTGCATTATGTATTGGGCTCTGATCCACAAGGTCAACAGATTTCATCTGCCGGCTGCTCTACAGAAGATAAATGGGTGATCTCCTCCTAGAAACATTTACAGCCTCAGGAACCCATTGGAGGGATGTAGGAGCTGGAACCCCGTGATGGCACTGGGTTTGGACTGGCTTCTCATTCTGCACTTGCCATGCCTCTGTTCATGAGAGTTTGTATCTGGGCCTGTTTCCAGACTTTTTCTTTTTTTAAAACCTGGTTATATTTTAATCTTAAGTCCATAGATCATGTATATATTTGTAGGGGTTAATTGTTAATATTCTATGTTGGGCAAAGGAACCTTAATTTGATCATTCAAGTTCACCTCCGTTATGATGCAGCTTTACCTCAGACATATGACCTTGAAGCATTCTGTTTACATATCTGTTTGTGACTGGACTAAGAAGCAACTCACATATATAAACGATTCCTATTTACTCCATGTGTTTAAGAGTCATTAAACAAAACGGAATCAAATTGCTCTTTTAGCCTAAATAGCACAGGATCTCTTAGTTTGCAGTCTTATCAATATATTTTTTACAGGTTCTTAATGTTTGAAAATGTTAAATAGAAAATACAATGTACATAGTCTTAACTGAGAGGCAAATATAAAACACAAATCTGTAAATAAAAAGCTATCGTTTTGGTACAACATAGTTAACTAGAAATTTCTACGATTTTAAGTACTATAGTCTACATTTGATTGCTATGTCCATAAATTAAAAGCAGACGCCCACTTTAAAAAGGTAAAATAGCATTTTAAAGCACCAGATCCAAAATTCCTACAATAATAATCACATTAAATATATTAAGTTACAAGCAGGATATAATGAATATCATTAGATCCTTCTTTTAATGTAATATTATTGTACAGAAGCTTAAATTCTATAATGATGTAGAGTTTCAACAAACAATTAGGCGGGTCCAGAAATTAATATACTTTTGAATTCTTTTATGTTTGTAGATTTACATCCTGACTTCTGTGTACAAGAACCCTAGAATTCAAACATAAATGAGATTTAATCCAAATGCCTATAATTTATTAGCTATAAAGAAAGACATTATATGCTTTCACTTGTTTGCTAAGTGGAAGATATGCTATTATTTCCAAGAATCCAGGGATTTAATGTTTAATTATCAACACTCATTTGAAAAAAAATAAAAGGACACTGCTTTGACTCACAAATTTCTTAATTGCTAACAGTGGCTTTTCTGAGTAGGAGTGTTGTGTGCAATTTCTTTTTGCAGATGTGATTTAGACACTGAATTTTAAACTAGCAAAGCTTTGAACATCTTCACTGTCAGCAGAAAAATCCCTCCATCTTTGCCGCTGGAGAATATTGCTGCTTGAGGTTTTAACAGGGAAATAAAAACCATAGTGAGAAAGTGGGTATTGTTGGTTAAGTGTTGCTTACGAACGGAAAAAAAGAAGTTAAGACTATCAGCCATCTAAAAGTTAACACTATTCACACAAAATGAGGTGTTATCTTCATCACCGTAAGTTGCTCGGGGTGAAAATTAATTTGCCTGGTTCCAACTTGAGGGAAACAACTGAAATTTACAAAAGGAATGTTATCTAAAGAAAAAGCAAACATCCCAGCCATCAGAGTCATCTTTCCAGAGTCTCAGCGACTGAAAGTCAGAGGCACCTCAGCTTAACTTCTCCCTGAGGAGAAAAAGACACACACATTTCAAACCACCACGGTGGCCCAGGCTCACTTGGCAGGGGGTTCACTTGTCACTGAAAAATAAAGCCATTTTCATGGTTTAGGAAGATTCACTAAAAGACCCTTTGGCCTCTGGAACATGGCATCATCCAGACATGACTGTAATGAAAGAAGGAGGAAGAAAGACTATGGTTTTTAAAGGACCACACAGAGATGAAGTTAAAAAAATAACATAAGAATTCCTACCGGTCTGGCTGAGCTGCGAGGCGCTGCGACTCTTCCTCGAGAGACCAACAATAGCTACCATTTTGGCCCCGATGCTGGAGCGCCGCTTCTTGCCCCCGGTGCCCAAGGCGCTCACAGCCGTGTCTGACTGGCTGCCGTCGTTCTTCTCCAGCGAGCACATGTCCCCGCTGATGCTGGTGCTCTTCGTCATGCTCTTCCCCGAGACACCCATTTGTCTGCTTTGCATTTTGGACGTAAAGACACTGTCGGGCGACAGGGCGAGGACACAGGAGACGGAGAGAGGACACACGGTAGGAAGGAAAAGACAGAGAAGGAGTTTTAGACAGAACATCTGGGGGATGAGGCCATGCAAAACCACCTATACAATGCTGTGAACTGCAGTGGGACATTCTTTTTAGGACCGAAAAACTTTCAACTCTCCTGGTCTGCACCGTGCTCCACCCTTCAGAGGCAGCTTTTAATGCAACTGTGCAAAAATCAGACTTAGTGCTGCTGTCAGAAGAAGGGACAAACAACCACACACTGACAATCAGTGGCTCATTTAAAAGATTACACGGCCTCGTAAGCACGATTTAGCTTCAAGGCAGCCACGCCACAAACAGAAGGCGTTTCCCAAGGCATTCATTTCTACTTTGACCAGGGCCATCACAGAGAAATTAGACAAATGTAAAGTTTTTATGAAAATGGGGAAAATATCATCTACTGCTGAGGTGGCTCTTTTGTAAGAAATTGTTTCACATTGGAAAACCTTATTAATAGAGGTTGACATCTTCATTGAGCTTTGCATTAAAAACAACATTCCTCAACTTTACTCAATTTCATATCTTTAATACGAATCTTATTACTAGTTTCCATTGAGTGAATTCTTCCTCATAGAAGGTCTATCTCTGTCAAAGCTCCACAGGCTTTCAGAGCTGTGACCTTTAGGAAGCAGATCACTCGGCCTTCTGAGGCACCTCTGGGTGGATTTGAACCAGGAACCTTTAGGCTACTAGTTGAGTGTGTAACCATTTGTGTCACCCAGGAAGACTGATCTAAATTTATGTTCAAACAATGAAAAAAAAAATTTTCTTCTGGTACTTATTTGAATTTAAGAAAAAATCATTTGTTACTCTGGATAATATGTTCAGAAAGCAATCTACGAGTCACTGAAGCATGGACGCTAGGTGACAGTGCATGGAATGACTAATCCTGCAAAGGGGAGTATTTCTAGAAAGGATGCTGGGATTTCCATGATTGATTACTGGTGCTCTGGGAGGAGGCAGGGCAAGGTGTAGAGTTTCTGGAAGCAAGTTATTCAGCACACCCCACTACTTTGTGACAGAACCGAAGAGTTTACTTTGCAGCAATAAGAGAATTACTTGCATCTCGTAAGTTTTTTGGAGTAAACAGTACAAAGTCACAGTTTCTACTTTAATGTGATTCTGAAAAGACATGATTATATGACACAACTGTAATAGTCAAACAATATTAAAAATCAAGCGCCAGACATATATATTCTTGTATATCATCTAAGGAATGAGAAATAGAAAACTACTCTATTGAGATGAACTCTTAAGGGAATGAAATACCAGTGCAAAACTAAAGAAAAGAAAATGTACTGTATTGTGTCTCTTATGTCAGCCTCCGGAAGAAGTCAGGAGTACATAGGTCAAAGGGGAGGGGATGACAAATATATGCTTCAATAATACCTAAAACTGAAAAAAAATTCAGACGGTCTGTTTCTATGAAACTACTGAAATGACTATTAATGAGCAGCATCAAGGTTAAAATAAGAGCATGCCCTGGATACAAACAGATCTGGGCTTGAATGCTTGCTTTGTTGTCTGTCATTTGCTTCATACTTGCTCATTGTGGTTGAGTTAGTTCCAACTCATAGAAACCCTTCATCAGGTTTCAGAGGCTGTAAACTGCAATGGGAGGGACTGCCCATCTTTCTCCCAAGGAACTGCTGGGGGATTTGAACATCTAGAACCATACGCCTTCTGTATTAGTGGCACAGCGTACCAAGGAACACCACCACCACCACATGACTAGGCTACCAGAACTCTTTTTGTCTCTGTTACTATAAAACTCCCAAACTCATTACTGTTGAATTGATTCTGACTCAAGGTGAACTCCCATTAGGTCTCCAAGGCTGGAAATTTTAACAGTAGGAGACCAGTCATCTTTCACACGGAGATTTGATGAGTTACATTAAAGTCACACATTTCATTCAGCAACTTAACGCTGCAAAGACTTTATATCATTCTAAAAGAGTTATTTACCATAAGGTTCAGGCCAGCAAATACTCTCTCACCATCCTAACTTGTACCGGACTGAAGCAGTATCTAGTCATTACGCAGATGTTTGGATTTATTTTTTTTTTAGATGTTTGGATGTTAAGTGCCATTTTTAAAATTTTATGTATTTCTTACATAGGAAAAAAACCTTCTCTGCTTCCCAAGTACCATTTTTTGTATACTAAATATCTTTCCTAAAATATGAAATGTGTAATTATTATTATTATTATTATCCTAAGTTACCACTTAATAAGCTTTATTTCATTTTAATGAAAAAAATCACTTAAACTTTTAGGTCAATCAAGTGACAATCATTTATTAAAAAAGAAGGGGAAAAAACTCACCCCAATTTACTGAACACAAAAATCAGGATGCAGTAATGATGAGATATAATTCCTTTTGATTTGCTGGAATTTGCTGGCAAATTCCAACAAGTAAAATGCAAATATGTCTGCATAAAAAGTTGTTGTTGGTTTACGGCCAGAATTTCAATTACCAACTCTAATGTAAAAAAAAAACACCACAAAATAACCCAAACCCACAAAACCGATAAAAAATCTCTAAATAATATGTAACAGATTTCTGATTAAGTTTTTTTTTTAAAATTCTGGAGAGAAGTTTAGTGTTTGCAACATTAATGTAAGTTCTGCATATAAATTAATGATTATTATGTATTCTTGTTGAATTGTGTATTGTTGTATTATTGTGTACCATGGAGTTAGAGCTGACCCATAGACTGACCTTTCAGTGGGTTTTCAGAGGTAGTAAATCACATGGAAGGAAACTGTCCATTTCTTCTCCCGCAGGGCAGCACGTAGATTTGAATCACATGTCTTTGGGATTGTAATATAACTTCTTAACTATTTGGCCACTGTTGTTGTAGTGTTCTGAAGAGTCAGAGCTGACCCATAGCTGATCCTCTGGTGGGTTTTCAGAGGCAGTTAATCACATGGGAGGAGATTGGCCATCCTCCCATGGAATGGCTGGTTCCTTTGGTGTTGCAGTGCAACTTCTTGCCACTAGGCCACCAGAGCTTCACAAGGCCATTAGAGCTCTCTATTAGTAGAGTAGTATGGTACCTGAATGTGCCAGAGAGAGCGAATGTGTGTGTGTGTGTGTGTGTGTGCAGGTCACAAGTTAATGCCCAGTGCTAGGTAGGAATATGAATAAATTAGATCAGAGTATGTTTTGATTGTTGTTGTTTGTTGTTGTTATGTGTCATCAAGTTGCTTGTGACTCATAGCGACCTTATGTACAAGAGCCCTAAACACCATTCTATCCTATGCCAACCTCACCGTCTCAAACACACTCATTCCCACCACCCCAATCACAGAATCAATCCATCTTATCAAGGGTCTTCCTCTCCTGCGCCGTCCCTCCACTCTCCCAAACATGATGTCCCTCTCCAAGGACCAGTCCCTCCTTGCAACATGCTCAAAATATGTCAGATGAAGCTTCAGAGTCTTTGACTCCAAGGAGCATTCTGGCTTCACCCTCTCCAGGACAAACCTGTTTGTTCTCCTTGCAGTCCATGGTATATTCAACACTCTTCTCCAGCACCACAGCTCAAAGGCATCAATTCTCCTTCTATCATCCCTATTCACGGTCCAACTCTCCAATGCATAGCACGTAATTGCGAAGACTATAGCCTGGATCAGGCGCACCTTAGTCTCCAGCCTGATGTCATTGCTCTTCAGTACTCTTGAGAGGTCCCTCACAGCTGACTTTCCCAATGCAATTTGTCTCCTGATTTCCTGGCTGCTTTTACCAGGAGTGTTAAAGTGATGTTCAGGACTCTGAAGTCTTGAAACTCATGATTGGAGACAGTGCCTGATGGTTGTAATCTGGGTCTTTGCTTCCTCAGGAAGATTTAAGGAGAGCCAAGAAGCCTATAATTTGCAAAATGCTTCTTCAAACAGTATGTTAATGCCCAAGATTTCACTGCATTAGATCTTAATTTCTTGGGGGGGAAAAAAGCCAGCCCAATATTTTATTTCTTTGCTATCTTATTCTCTTTTAACATGCCACTTCTCCTGGTATCTGGTCATTCTTTTAATATGTGTTCACTTTACACCTACTATCCAGCTGGCACTGCTCTTATACATAGAGATACAATAAAGAACAGGGCAGAGAAAGACCCCTTTTCATAGAAAATGGTAAAGGAAGACAATAAAATTAAGACTTTATTGATGCAATCTCAAGAGACACTATCTGAAGAAACTAAGATGGGACAACATGAGAAAGAAGGACTGGAAAGTTTGAGCAAGGTCATTTTACCTTCACTAAAATAAAAATAAAGAAATCACTTAAAAAAATTCACATCTTCTCTGAAGAGGAGACAACGAGCAGAGTCGATCAGAATGTTCTGAGATGTGAGGAGAGCCAGTGGAAATAGGCTGATGAAGAACAAGCTGGTTAAAGGAGAAAGTTTATAAAACTAGTGGAGATAAAATGAAGGTGAGGAATCCAGTAGAAGATGAGATCAGGGCTGGATAAACCCTGGGTGTACTGGAATCAAAGTTAAGGTCTCCATGTTGCTGTGTTCGGCATTGTCAAGTTGGTTATGATTCCCACAGAAACATTTCCTGGTCTGGCACTCTCCTCTCCATTGCAGTTGTTCCCACACCCATTCTTTTTTTTTTTTTTTAATAATTTTAACTAGCATTTACAGAGAATTTGAATTTCCATTCATTCATTGCTGCACTTCTCTCCCTGCCCCCCCACCCACCCATTCGCTCCTTTCTTTCAAAAGTAAAAGAAACACTCCTTCCCTGGTACACAATCTCGCTGCACCCCTCCATAAATCCATCTCGTTGAGGATTTTCTTCTTTTTTATTAACCCTTTTCACATCCTTCCTGACTTTCCCCCTTCAGCTGCTGTACCAAAGGTGCCCTAAGAGCAAACACTGCAGGAATAAACGCAATGACAGCCCTTTGCTAAGCCCAGCAAGCATCTCTAA